AGCCCACAATCCAAACTAGGCACGAAGCAGAAGCACCAACACACAAATATCAGATCACTCTGGAGCAGAAACTAAACAATGCGCAGGCAGAAAAAAGACTGCTGGATCGGATACACGATCACACTTCTTGTTCTGGTCCCTCTGCATAAACGAATACCTCGTGTTGCATGATTGCATAAACGGTGGTCTTGGCTTGGCTTGTTGACTTAACTTGGCCCAGAATTGGCCAGTGCCCGCATTCCCACATTCCCGCATGGCGCGCGCGCGCGCACGCTGAGTTTTTGCGGCGTGGTGCGCGCATTGTACAAACACAAAAGCGATAAAAATGCTTTTTTATGTTTTCTATTCGCCCCTTCACGTGGCCTAATAGCTAATAAATTCCCTCCCACACCTCAATTTCTTTTCCCACCCAATCTCCTGCACTGAGCCGGAGGGATGGCTTTCTCCAGACTCGCGCGCCTCGTGGCTGAACTCGATTCCGAATATAATGCGAGGTGCATTTTAGAGCACGTAATTTCGAGAAAAAAACTTGCGTTATATTCGTGCAAATACGGTACTTGTCTGATATTTGTGTGCTGTTTCCAGTTGTGCCATGAACCAATTCACCTGCATCGCCACTTTGATCCGTGCTGATTGATAACACGCCGCGCGACACTGTTAGCGCGAATATGACTTCAACTCTTCTTCCCATTATAGTTGGAAAGTCCTCTCCCCTTTAAGTGAGGGTGAGGAATTGAAGCAATGGTTTGGGAGTTCCTGTGGCTGGAAAATCCCAGCTTGCGCTACGTGGCCCTGTTGGCAGATCCCATATCATATGTGATCACAAAGGCCCTCAGAGAAATTTCCGAGCACAGCTGCACAAGCTCAAAAACAAAGTCTTTCAAGAGCCATCAACGGATCGTCCAGTCAGGTGATATGCGATTACCTGCTTCCAGTGCCTATTCAGGCCTCCCACCATAAACACCAATGCACAGTGTGCAGCATCCTTAGGTCGATCTAGTAGTGTCATATCACCAAAAAAAGAGTTGTGCGAACGGTCATGCTCATAACCCTGCATGATCTCCGTCTCATCAAGAAAAAGTATGCAGTCTTTTTCGATGTCCTCCATTCTCAGTGTCTCGCTCTTTAAAACATTGAATACCTCCGTAAGAATGAATGGAAGGAAGCTTAAGCCTTGCAACATTTGAGCAAGGGTTTTGTTGGATGGTAATGGACAGCCCAGTGTCCTCAGTGTTTCATAACCTGATGTCCCACAAGCATATTTGATTTGAAGGGCTTGCTTGATAGTGTTCACAGACCATGTGCAGCCTTAGGTGTTGTTTCTTGAAAGTGCACGAAGCTCATCATCATTCAGAAACTTCATACTACCCTTGAGATTTTGGAGTTCCTGTTCTAGTGTTTGTACCTTCTTCTTCAGGCTTTTAACGGTTCCCCTAGCCATCTGGTGATTTTCTTGAAAGTTTGTGTACTTTCGTGCGACATCAGCCAGTTGTTTTTTTAGTTCTGCACATTCTAGCCCATCAGGACTCTTGCTAGTGAACAGGTTGTCCCTAGCTGCTAAGTGATAATGATCATGAAAGTCACTACCAGGTGGTGCAAATGCATACGGGACATTCATATCATACACAGCAGGAAGAGGTGAAGAACTCCTACACTCATCTGTACTCATGGCAGATGCAGTAGCTGCACCTGCTGGCGGGCAATACCGACACTGACCAGGAAAGTCTTCTTTAGATGATGGGATCTCGGGACTGGGTAGAGCAGGTGGTGGTGGAGAACTCAGGCTCTCACCCAGGTTCTCATCAGGTGTGGCAGCCACCTGACAACCGCCCTTGGCTGCTGAAGACAGAGCAAACGGAAGGGGACATCTTAGCTTCGGTGGCTTTCTTCGCTTTGGAGCCGCTCGAAGACATAGAGCAAAGTTTCCTAGAGACTTCAAAACAGGTATGTTCCTGTTTTTACCTACTCCAATATGGATATTCACGACTCCAGCGACCTATAGGGGGCGCCACCACCAAACAAACATGGCGGCTGAGTCCAGGTCACGTCGGCTCGGCCGGGCTGCCTGAACGGCCTGAGCGGGTGACGCATTCAATTTAACAGATTTTTTTTTGTTTAATGCCAAATTTTATAGGTATCTGAACTGCGACGGTTACGTGTAGCCGGTGCACATAAACTTGCAAAGCATAGTTTTGGTTTCCCTGTGTTTTTTGTTCTTTTCATGTCTAACTTTCGTTTCACAGATTTCGTTCAAAACCGAAACCATGGGCTCCGGAGAGAATAGACTTTAATCAGTTCTGATAATCTAAGGAAAGCAGCGATGACTACAGAATTGTTCCACCAGCAGCAATTTTCAGCTAACTCGCATGCCTCGACCATGCGACTTATCTGTCCACGAAATCGAGCTTTTGTGCGGTCAGCAACACAGGCTGTAGGAAAATTACAAAAATGAAGTGAGCGCTTCTTGAGCCAAGGAGCATTTTAACCCGCTGGCACCCCACTAAGTAGCTGATACTCTTATTTCAATTTTGGTTTTAGTAGCAATCGAGAACTCATTTTGACGAGCGGGTTATATATTATATAACGTACTATGCCCCACTAAAGCGATATGAGTATATTCTTCGGGTTGAAATATGAGCTAGTTGACTAGCTATTAGGTGAACTGCTGAATAATATTTGACAGACAGAGAGATACTACTTTAATTTAGCCAAATGGTTCTAGCCGGTCGCACGGAGACGAATGCGGACAAACTGAAGAGTCTTCATCGGAGATTCACGCAGAACCTCTCTGCATTAAACTTGACTTCGAATCCTAAACGGAGAAAATGAGTATTTTCTGTGGCCGCTCAACCTGAGCAATGTAGACGTATATTGCTGATGGCTTTGACGGGGGTATAATATAAATATTGGAGGCGCGATAGATCATAATGCCGTGACAGCTTCAAACTTAGCAAGACGTGTCCCCCCCCCCTTTTTTTTTTTTTTTGAAAGCAGATAATTTTCTTTATTAACCATATGCAGCGAGCAGGTTTTGCTGAATCAAGTAATTGCGAAATCAGCCCAACTCCTTCAGTGTGGTTCAGGGGCTTTTTCGGCGAAAAGCAGCCAAGATGAATAGCCAACGCACCGACCGGCGTGGGTGGCTCAAACTTGAAGCTAATTAAACACAACCAAACTCAAGAAAAGCAGCTGTCGAACCTTCCCATTCACTTGACTGCAACATTGGTGTTCCATCTAGCGAAACACCTCGTCCGTCGTCCTCAGTCCACTGTTCTACATCCTTATAAAGAAACCACTTATCAGTTACCAAGTAGTCGTCACTTTGAATGTGATTCGAGACAGACAAAAAATCGAAACGTTTTTCCGTGATTCCTCCCCATCCAGGAAATCGAAAGCACGCGACCGTGTGTTGTGGAGTAAACGGGCTTCCAAACACGTGGTAGAAGGAAACAACCTACTGAGGCTTCACCACACTAATGAACACTCATGCAAACTTTCGGACCTTCGTCAAATTACATTGTTCGCCACCGCGCTGACAACACGTGTCCGCGAAAGCCATCAGAGACGCGAAAGGACGCGGAGCGACCTGGTCCGGCTGGTTCCCGGTTTTCCCGCTTGGTGGCGTCCGTTTTGCTGGAGTCGCGAATAGATTTGCTCGCTCATGACTACTGCTATCGTACGAGAAAGGGTGGGTACTGCAGAGACATTTAGGGGTCTCAGCCATATAGGACTTCAATAACACTTGGAAGTATTTCTTCTTGGGTTTCAAGAGCATCATTGTTTGAACGGAATGGAGAGACAATGGAATGAAAGCCCAAACGTGATCCTGCCAGTCTCACCTGGTCAAGCCTAAAGTGTTGATGCAGTTGTAGCTACACGCACCTTAGCGAATGCAAGCAATTGTGACTTTTTAAATTGCAATTTGCTCATGATTAATATGCTGCCGTTTGTTGTTATGTACATTGCAACTGAAGATTGAATCTATAGTGATGTTGTTGTGCAACATGGCTTCGTTAGTGTCCGTGCACAGCGTCAGTCCGTACTGAGACCGCATGTGCTCTAGCAGCCACTGGTCATATCCGCCTTTAGGGTTAACGTTCAAGTACCCCATCATGATCCAAGGTCAGCGCGTGTACCAGGGCACCAACACTAAATAAAGCATTAATTTTAAACAGCGTGCAAGCGATTTAGCGAGCGACAAGACAAGTGACGACGAAGAGGACCCACTGTCACTCAGTCAGTTGCGTGACGAGGGAAAACTGCATGAAAGCGATAGAGCAAGTGATCCGAGAGCCGCTGCGATGTGGCTCCACGCAATAGCTTTTAAATTCTGTGCTTTGTACTTGGTGTGGGACATGTCCCAAAGGATCCTCCCTCACTCCACCTCATCGATGTGGTGTTCACTGAAGCGATGCTTGTCGTCGGGGTTATTACCCATCGCAGCCGGTGATCAAACAAAGCTTCTCAACAATATACAACCTAAACTAGCCATGCAGTCGCGCTAGCGAACCGGTAGAGACGTAAAACGGAACATTTGGTGCTATTGGCTAATCGCTTCAGTCACTTCCGGGCGACGAGCAACAGTGAGAAATTTCTGTCGCTCATTGCCGACTTATTGCTTGCCACTGTCACTCGTCTGAACCGGATGTAAGCGATTTAACGAGCGACGTCGGCAAACGACAAGAGACAGAGACTTCTCAGTGTTACTTGTTACATAGCTCAGTCCTGGACTTCACCCAGCAACGCAAAGAGCAACGGAAAGAAATCTCCGTTGCTCTTATTGTTGCTCATTAAAGTACTTACCATATTTTCCGGAGTATAAGACACACCTGTGTATAAGACACACCCCCCACTTTTCACAAGTTTCTAAGTAAAAATTAGAAACTAAGATGCAATGCCAAACATTGTGGAAAAAAAGTGACTTATGTATGAGACGCACCTGTGTATAAGACGCGCCGCCGGAAATTTTTGGAAAAAGAGTCGACGGTATGCATACTTACGACGGAAAGAAAACAAAGTTGGGATTGCAGTCGGCTTGAGCTTTTGCCACCCATCAGCTCTCCTCTCCTCGAATGCACAGGGTTCAAAGTGGGCCTGGAAATAGCATATGGGGCATCAATAAAGAATAAAGCTATACGCACTCCGTCGTGCACATCGGCCAGAAAAGGCTATACGCACTATGCGACACTCGAATAAAACGAATGGCTACAACAAGTTTTCTAAGTGGTGGCATAGCACAGTGGAAAGGTTCTGCTTTATACGTAAGTGGACGCGGGTTCGATCCACAGTGTGGGCCTACTTTTTTTTCTCAAACATTTTGTTTTGTCGAGGCATTTGGCGATATCTACGACATTTCTTTCTTACGATCAACACTGAAAAGAAAAAAAACAAATGTTGTCGACGAAATTTTGCAGAACTAAATGGTATGGGATTCCCTTTCCGGAGGTGCAATCGGGAACAGCGGGGCTTGGGCTGCCGGCTGGGTGCCACGAGGCGGCGTATACGGGTTAAGTTTCGTAATTAGCAGCCGCACACTGCTGCCGCGAAGCGGTGTGAACGCAGGCAGGGGGGTGTTAACGAGTTCCCCAGTGATACACACGCAGGGGCGGATCCAAGGGGGGGGGGGGGCCGCCGCTCTCCTTTCCCCTTTCTCGGAGGGCAAACCCCCCGAAATAAAACCAACTACCGGCCTGCCAGGTGGTAAAGACTCGGTACTCAAGGACGAGGGTTCAAAGTAGGGCAGGTCACACCCTAGCAGGCACACTTAAACTCTAAACTTGGAGATGCACTCCGTCGCTTCAACCGAGACTAAAGTCCGCGGAGTCGGTTTCAAAGCACGGCTTGGAGCCAATAAGTCCGCGCAGCGGCGCACATCTAAGGGCCATCGGTGCAGTGTGGTTCTGTGGCGGCAAAAACAAAAGGTGCAACCGGAGTCCTGTTTATGCTACCTTCGATTCCCCCACCCCCCCATACGGAGTTCTGGATCCGCCCCTGTACACGCGCCATTCGAAGAGGGTGACCCAAATGACACGAGCTCTCCGCATAGTGCGTATAGCCATTTCCAGTCGAGCAGCACTATGTGGTGTGTATAGCTTTTCTCATCAATAAAAGAGGTTAGACGGTGACATAACATACTTTCTACTTATCGTTATTAAAGTTAGCACTCCATTAGAAACAAGACAGTAGTCGCAAAACTAAGCGCAAAATTTTGATAGCTAATCATTACTTTCGGACGTTCATCAAACGAGAAACTGTTCGTACAGCACCAGAGCGATATCTGCAAAACAACGCCAATGCCGAGCTCACATTCTGCATTAGCAGCGTCGAAAGGACTTCGGGACGAAATGGAGGAAAACAACAACATTCTGCCGATGGTCCGACTGCTTGCGGGCGCACACAAACGGGTCCATATCACAAGAGCGAATGACATTTTAGCGAACGGCGACATTTGAGCGAATGGTCATTTTAGCGAATAACGGGGGCGCGCGTTAACCCATCCGTCGCGCTGCGCTTTACGCCGCTTCGCGGCGACAGTCTGCGGCAACTCATTACAAAAATATGAACTCACTTGGCCCACCCGAAAACGCCGCTTCGCGGCGTCCGACTATTCGCTAAAGTGTCATTCGATGAAACGTGGGCGTTCGCTAAAACGTCATTCGATCAAGTGAATGCCTCCCCTAGCAATCAACTGCGCGGCAAAAGACGCGGCGATTGCAAGGAAACAAAGTTGGTACTCACGCTGCACACATACGACCTACGGCTCAGCTCCCAGTCGTCGCGCTTTATCTGTACGAGCCACAGACGCCTCCGTTTGGCGTTTGTCGGAACGCCGTATACCTTCCACCCATTCCTCGAGTGATTCGAACACTGCGGCACGCAGCAACCCGACATTTGCAAAAGACTTCGCGATCCCACGCGTGCATCGACAGCCGATCGGGGTGGTAAACTGGTAAACTGGCGCCGGGGTTATGGTGTACTAGAAGACTGGTACCGGGGTTAAAGATAGTGCTCTAGCAGAGCCTCCTAGATAAGTGTACTATGCCTCAGAGCCGTATATGTAGAGAGTTTGGTCAATGGGAGGTGCGGGCAGACCCAGGGCGTGCGGCAGACTCGGAAAGAGGGCTTGGCATGCTCTCTTGACCAACCAGAAGCCGAAAAGAATCCCCTGGCGGTGGTAGCGAGAAACAGTTCTGAGCCGATCGGTCCACAGTGAAATCATAACCAGTGGTTATGATTTCACTGATAAGCGACAAGCTTATGATAAGCGACACGGAAGACGGATGCGACATCGCGACGGATCTGCTGCGTAGCTAAGTAGCCTTTGATTTTTCATTTTCACTCTTTGCAGTTTGTTATCCAACTGTGTATGGGGTAGTAGCGCAGAGTGTGGGATATTGTTTAGTTGGGGTAGTTTGGCTAAATGTGGCGGTAGCGACAGGGAAGTTGGCTTAGCGGGGCCACGTGGTGCTAGAACAGTGCCGTTTGAATTTTTGGCGGGACACGTCGCTGAAGAGCGACGAATGAGTTTAGTGTTTGCTGTCATTTAGTCTACGCGTGTGGTCACGTAGCCGGGTAAGTTTCCGCGGACGTGGGAGACGCAGAGGCATGGCGAACGAGGAAAGAAAGAAAGGAGGGAATGATGACCCGGAGGTGCCGAACGTCGAGTGTGGCGGCTGCGGTAGGTGGTGTTTCCTCGAGGAGACCCCTTTCAGCTCGATCGAGGAGGCTACGGATAGGGAATACCTATGCCGGATCTGCGTAAAAATCGAGGGGCTGACTGAGGCGCTGCAGGAGATGAGGCAGGAGCTCAACGCCGAACGGAAAGAGAGAGAGAGGCGAGAGAGACCGCGACTCTAAACACGCGGCTAGAGGAGATGGCGGAGGCCATGAGGAAAGCAGTGGAGAAAAGGGAGGCAGAGGAAACCGGGGAGGGAGGGAGGATAGCCGAAGTGAGGCTGGAAGAGATGCAGAAGGAACTGGAAATAGAGCGGGAGGAACGTGGGAAGCTTGAAGGGCAGCTTATAGAGCTTGTAGTCCTGAAGGCGAGACTGGAGGAAATGGAGGGGAGATGGAGAAGCGAGGCAGAACAAAGAGAGGTGGCACAGATCGAATTTGAAGAACTGAAAAGGAAGGTGGAGAATAACGTACAGGGGACAACTGGGATGAACCCCACAGTAGAAGAAAACAAGGGCACAGAGCTCCCCATTCCCGCACCCAGATCGGGGTTGCGTGTGCAAGTCAATGCGTCCGCACCCAAGGTGTGGGAAATCAGGAGCCGGCAGAAGGGGAGCAGCAGCATGCAGGGGCAGGGACTCGGAGAGTACTAGTTATTGGTAGCTCTAATGTCTCCAGGTGTGCCACAGGGGTAGCGAGCAGGGTGAGTGGAGACGATAGGGTGAAGGTGTTAGCCCACCCTGGTGAGCGAAGTGATGGAGAGCGCAAAGGACATAGTGTGGGAAAATGAGCAGGGGAAAAACCTGGTGATTGTACACGCTGGACTAAACGATGTCCTCAATGGGAGGGGCCACAACTTGGGAAGGCAGATAGAGGCTGGGGTGAGGAAGCTTAGGGCTGTCTCTGAGCGGGTGCACATCTTAATGTGCACGATCCCGGAGGTGGAGAAACAGTCGGTAGCAACCGAGAAAAATGTTGTAGCAGCCAACCGAACTATCAGGCAACAGGGAGAGAAGCTGGGCTATGAGGTGCTGGAGGTGAACAAGGGAGTGTACCAAAGAGGGCCATCACCCCGATTCGAAAAAGATGGGATACACTATGGACAGCACACGGGGTGGCGTATCGGGGCTAAGATGGGAGACAGGGCAAGGGTTTTTTTGGACCCACCGAGGGCCCGAAGGTAGATGAGAACTCGGGCAAAACTTTGGTAAGGGGGGTGGGAGGGGGGGGGCAGGAGGAAGCCTCGTAGGAAAAAGAAAAGAAAACAGCTAAATATAAGCTTTATCAACATGCAGGGGGGTAGAAACAGGCTAAAATGGGAAGAGATCGGGGAACAATTAGGGACAGAAAGTTCTACAGTTTATGGTGTCGCAGAAACACATCTTAGGGATGAGGAGGAACCGCCCCACATACCAGGTTATTCTTGGGTGAGTTGCAACCGGAGGGCAGGGGAAAGGAAAGGCGGAGGCCTAGGAGCGTTGGTAAAAGGACAGGACTGGGAAAGGGAGAGAGAAGACTGCAGGGAACATTTATGGCTGAAGGGTAGCGTAACAGGTCTGAACACTCTTCTGGGGTTTGCATACTTAAAAACAGGAAGTGACTCAAGGGAGGAAAATTCACAACACTTTGCATGTATTTTGAAGGACATTAGGGAAATTGGCCTTAATCAGGAAATAATTATCATGGGAGACATGAATGCCCACATAGAAGAGTTTGATGGATTCACAGATACAACTGGAAAAATGTTAGAAGATTTCTGTGATGCCCTGGACCTAGTGTTAGTTAATGCACAAGTAAAATGCGAAGGGAAAATAACGTGGGAACGAAACAACTCACACTCAACGATAGACTATTGCCTCATGTCCCACAAACTGTATGACAGGCTAGAAAGTATGGAAATAGATGAGGAAGGTACAAAAAGCTTAGGGAGTGACCACAAAAGAATTAAGATTAAATTCGGTACATCTGAACCTGAACAAGCCCAGGAACGAGCGGGTAAACAAAAACTAAGTGAAGCACAAATTCAAAAGGTATCTAAAAGTATTGAGGACATAGTATCGAAACAACCAGAAAAAGAGTGGACATATGAGGATTTAATAGGAATCTTTAAGAGAGAATTAGAGAAGCATCGAATTAAACAAAGAGGAAAGCAAAACCAAAAAGCTGGTGGGATAAGGAGGTTAAAGCAGCCATATTGCGGCGCCAAGAGGCATCTAGGGAGCATAGGTGGGCAAAAAAAAGGGGAGCTCTGCCAGCTGAGGTAACATCAAAATGGGAGAGATTCCAAGAGCGGAAAAGGGAGGCATCAGCTTTAATACAGGCCAAAATTGGGAGGGCAGGAGTGCAGTGGATGATGGAAATAAATAAAAAAGATAAGAATGCGGCAAAAAGGTTTTGGGAGCACATTAAAGCACAGGGGAGAAAAACAGAGGATTTCCAACACTCGCTGACCACACAGGAGGGGAGAAGAGTGCAGGGGGAAGAGGCACAGGAATATATTAGACAGACAATCGAAAAGGCTTTCTCCCAGCTTGAGCAGAGGGGGACGGTGGATAGCACTGTCAGCAGCACTGTAGAGGAGGAGCAGAATTGTATAACAATGGAGACAAACACAAGAGAATGGGATAAGGCAGAAAGTAAGGTTCCAGCAGGTACAGCAACAGGCCCCGACAACATACCCATGGAACTCATAAAGACACTAGGAAAAACAAGCAAATTGAAGTTACGGCAGGTGATTAATCAAGCAATTATGAAAGGAGAAGTACAGTGGCGTACCAACTTGTTTTTGAGTGGGGGGGCAAACCCGACCCTCTTCCCCCCCCCCCCCCTTAATCGAAAATTCGGCGCAACTTTTGTCGAAGTTTTCTAAAGATGTGGCAATGATTCGGCAAAATTACAACGTTACCAGACTTAACATTGATATTTTCTTTTTTCTCACAAAAAAAATGTTGCTTCTTCTTTTTAAAATAAATACAACTTGTAGTGCCTATTGAAACAGTAATGATTAAATAAGGTGATATTCTACAAGATAATTGTATCAATGTCGCTTTTGTGTGTTTACTGGCAATTTTAGTGTTTGCTTGCAGAAAGTGGCGTGACAACGAGGTTGGGTAGTAGCCGGAGCAGTCACGAATCACACTACGAGAGTTTTGATTTTGAGGCTTCATCAGCGCACGCCTGCAAGTGTGTTTACATTGTTAAAATAAAGACAATCACTGCGTTCTTACTTTCTCTGGGAGTCACCGTTTCGTGCGCGAAAACGGATGCAACGGTTGTTTAGCCTTCACCAGAAGAGATAACAAACAATACTGTAAATATGCATGTTTTTCGATTTGAGTCACTTGACGTCAGCTTTGCATGAAAGTGCGCGTTCCATATTCGCAACGTGCCGTTTTTAACCTTTAAAATTCCGGTTTCTGGTGTTAGGACACACACAGACGTTTAGGAAGATGGGGAGAGTTAGGAATGTCGGATGTGCAACGTCGAGCATGATAGTTCTGTGTTTAACGAATACTTTTCATCAGTGTTTACTAACGAGTGCTTGGACTTCGTCCCCACTCTCCCTGAAGAGCTTTACAAGCGCATGCATCCTATTAACGTTAACTCCGCTGGTATTAAAACATTGATTGATAACCTAAAACTTACTTCGTCCGCTGGAACCGATAACATCAACCCTAAAATTTAAAAGAAACACCCGTGTTATTTCTAGTGAGTATTTGAAACTCATCTTCATTCAGTCCTCATCTCAAAGCTGCCTTCCATCTGACCAAAAGGTGGGAAGGGTAATTCCCAGTCTTTAAACAGGGCAGCCGCTCTTCCGCATCTAATTATCGCCCTAATTCATTGACTTCAATTTCTTGCAAACTACTTGAGCATATCCTCTACTCCAATATCATGAGGCACCTATCATCCCATTTCTTTTCTTTAAACAGCAGCACGGTTTTCAAAAGGTACTTTCCTGCGAAACGCAACTCTGCGACTTCATCCATGACTTGCACACTAACCTTGAATGTCACGTCCAAACTGACGCAGTTTTTTTTTTTTTTTCCAAAGCGTTCGGCCGTGTCCTCCATCAACGCCTTCTTTCTAAGCTATCATCTTTTTGCCTCGACCAATAACCGTTTGCATGGATTCGTGACTTTCTTTTTTCCCATGTACAGGTCACGTCCATGATGATCATGAATCTTCCTTAATAAATGTATCTCCTGGTGTTCCCCTGGGGTTCGTACTTGGGCCCTTACTCTTTTTAATATTTATTAATGACATTC